GCTCAAATATATTTAGACTTTTTCTAAGTATAAGTCAAGTATACTTAAATGTCATTTTAAGTATATTTCTGAGAAGTACATAAAGCCCATTTCTGAGAAGTACATAAAAAGTAGACTAAAAGTATACTTTCCTATTTTTAGTTTAAAAGAAGTATACTAATAGCACACTTGAATAAACTTCTTTTTCGTAAGGGTATATATAGCCTACATGTTTGCATTCAAATCGTAAAGCACTTATAAAAACGTATAGCAATTTTTTATCTTTAGTATATCTCATTATCTTTATTGAGTCAAATATAACGCCTTCTGCCCGTTAAATCTTTTTTGTAGCAAATGTGCAAAGAATGTCAGCAATATTCTGGAGATCAAACTTGACTTAGAACTACTTAATACAATTTTTGGCACTGAATAGGAACTTCACTTACCAAAATGCACAGCAGTCTTATTGTGCCATAAGCCTTTTAATTATAAACATTGTGTCTGTGTAAAACATTCACACTTGATAATTCCTTACATTTTTCTTGATGCCACTTTCTCTTCAGCTTTTTGGGTGTGGGTCAGTTGCCCAGGTGACGACCTCTCAAAACACTAAGGGTGAATACCTGTCAATCAACCTCGGGTTTGCATTGGGCACCACATTTGGGATTTATGTGGCAAAAGGGGTATCAGGTATAAAATCTCTAAAGCAGCTGTGTATATTAAGACATAAGTCCCTGTATATACATATAAATGAATACATTTCTCATCTGTTTAAGGAGCTCACCTGAATCCAGCTGTTTCCCTCACCCTGTGTGTCCTGGGCAGGTTTTCCTGGACTTGTCTTCCATTCTATGTGTGCTCACAGCTCTTAGGTGCATTTTTGGCTGCAGCAACTGTTGCTCTTCAGTACTATGGTGAGTGAATCTCATTCTAACTGATCTATCTTATCTACACTACCAGTCAAAAGTCAAGTCACCATTATTTATATAGCGCTTTTTACAATGCAGATTGTGTCAAAGCAGCTTTACAGTATTAAACAGGGAAATAGTGTGTCGAAATAGTCTGGAATAGTTAAGATTTTTTACTGTTTCTGAAAGAAGTCTCCTATGCTCACTAAGGCTATATTTATTTGAACAAAAATACAGTAAAAACTGTAATATTGTGAAATATTATTACAATTTAAAATAACAGTTTTCGATTTGAATATATTTTAAAATGTAATTTGTTCCTGTGATGAAAATGTAAATTATTCCTCCAGTGTTCAGGCGTTATTTCTTCGGATCCTTCAGAAATTATTACAGTCTAATATGCTGATTTGCTGCTCAAAAAACTTTTTTTTTTCAATTTTTTTAAAATTATTATTAATGTTGAAAACATATTCAATAATTACATTCAAAAACAATTAGGCTCCAACTCAGCATAATAGAATGTCACACTGAAGACTAGACTGAAAAATTGGTATATAATGCTTACTAAAAACTATTATTAAATGTATTTTTTTACAACATTAACTTAAATACATGAATTTATATAAACAAAACTAGTTTTTATAACCAGTTAGAAATAGCTCTTTAAGATATTGCATGGTTACCACATTTCACAGCTGCTGAATATTAATTTTTACAATATATTACACTTTACATTGTTATGAATTAATATAATTAGTCATAACCAGTAATATTTGGTTATGGTGATCTTCAGTGTTGGGGAAAGTTACTCTTAAAAGTAATGCATTACAACATTGCGTTACTTCATAAAAAAGTAACTAATTACGTTACTTAGTTACTTTTTATGGAAAGTAATGCGTTACATTACTTTTGCGTTACTTTTTAAATCTGGACAGAGCTTGCTTGTTTGTTTTTAAAATAAAAAAGTTATATGTTTGGCAAATATAAAAGCCTTTTCACACCAAAAGCGAAATGAATAAGCCTCAGGCTGAAGGAAATTTAAATTTACGTACGTACAGTAGAATGCAGAAGAAGAAATTTCAACACAATTCAGCAATAAAAAAAGACACACAAATGTTTGTCTAGAGTCATTTTTGCTTATTAGTATTGTTGAACTGGATCATCGAAGGTCAGAAGCAAAGACATTGGTTAATAGAATGGGATTAAATACATAAAGGATATTTGTGTTGCTTAACATTTAATTATTGCAGGTTTGCGTCATATTCTGAGTTGCATTATTTTTATTCATTTTGAGGAATACTGAATCTGTGTTTTTTTTACGTGTTTGTTCACAGATGCCATAATGGATTTCACTGGAGGGCATCTGACAGTTAGTGGTGCCACTGCCACCGCTGGTATCTTCTCAACTTATCCAGCAGACTACCTGAGTCTATGGGGAGGAGTGGTGGACCAGGTCAGCATAATATACGAAACATGGAAATCTACTGCTTGAAATGCTAAGACTATTCTCAAGACGCAATACTTTCATAAGATCACCATTACCAAATAATCAAAGCTAATTATGTTCATTCATAGCAGAATGACCTATTCTGATGCTTTTATGCAAAAGTAGCTTACATTTTATATACATTACTATCAGTTATTGTCAACCACTGAAAATTGTTCCAAAAGAAGCCACAACAGAATGTATGTATTTTTTTTGAATGAATGCGTTGAACATTTTGTGCCACCTACTGGTCACATATATAGTCTGTAAAGTGTATTTTTAGTTTGTGTCTGTACCTGGATTAGCTCAGTTCACACTCTGTCAAAGTCATGTAACATTAACAAGGCTTTTAAAAAGATGTGTTTGTCAGTTTGGTCTGAAGTGAACTGTGTAGCCAGACCACATTAACTTGAGCTTGTTCTGCAGATAATTGGCACAGCTGCTCTGCTAGTGTGTGTTCTTGCATTGGGAGATCCTCGTAACACACCAGCTCCTCCTGGTCTGGAGCCTGTCCTGGTAGGAGCAGCTGTCCTGGTGATCGGCATCTCGATGGGTTCTAACAGCGGATATGCCATTAACCCGGCTCGAGACTTCGGCCCGAGACTCTTCTCTTACATTGCAGGCTGGGGAGATGAAGTGTTCAGGTCAGTCTAACATACACACAAGGTCACTGAAAGGTTTTGCACTGAAATATTTTCTTATATTTTTATAATATTTTCTTAAAATATTTTCTAAGAGTATATATATATATATATATACACACACACAC